TCTTCTTCTTCTTCTTCTTCTCCTTCTCTTTCTTCTTCTCCTTACTGGTTCGGACTACTATAGCTACAGTAGAAACACTCCTTTAGTACCTCCCAGCAGTCTTGATAAAAAGCCATCAAGACCAGGTGCTTTAAATCTATTCATTGAAAATATGGCTACCCTTATTTCTTCCAATTCAAAGCTTCTCTCCAACCACACCCTTGATTCTTCTGGAAGTCTTGGCCACTCCAAACCCTCAATCTATAATCTGCTAGACAAAGGCCTTCTAAAGATTGATTTGAAGTGGTCCACAAAGGCCTCTTCAATCTCCTCCTGCTGAGTTAGTATTGCATCATTAATCACTAGCTTAGAGATCAAGTTCTTCTTCCTCTTGCCAGTGGCTATAGCATGAAAAAATTTGGTGTTTCTATCACCCTCCTTTACCCACTTGTGTCTAGTAATTGTTTCCAACTAATTTCTTCTTTAAAGAGGACATCCTCCAAGTTTTTCCTCAACTCCCACCTAAGCTCCTTGTCCCTTTCCCCAAACAAACCTTGTTCTTCTTTTGCATCTAACTCCTCAATCAGATTCATCAACTGTTGTTTTCTTTCCTCAAGCCTCCCAAATTGAAGAATATTCCATTCTTTGATTTTGTTTTTCAATTCTTTCAGCTTCCATTGAAATTTCATACCCTCCCAATTGGCCCTTGGATTACTTGTTACCCACCATTCTTTCACTTTCTCCTTAAAGCCTGGATGGGATAGCCACATATTCTCAAATCTAAATGGGATTGGTCCTCTATTCCTAGGCTCCACATTACTAATCAAGACTGGCCAATGATCAGAGGTGACTTTAGGCAATATCCTTGACATCAAATATCCCCAATGTTCTTCCCAATCAGTAATAAAAAGAAATTTGTCTAATTTCAAATAGATTGGATCAGCTTGGAGATTGGACCATGTAAAATGATTATGTGACAAATTCAGTTCTTTGAGCTCAAACATATTAATAAATTCATTGAATTTCCTCATACTTGTAGTATTTCTTTGTCGCACCTTGTTACACTCCTCAGTGAATCTAATTACATTAAAATCCCCTCCTAAGCACCAAGGACCTTCCCATAATCCTCTTATATCTCCTAGTTCTTCCCACAACTCATTCCTCTGCCTATATCCATTGGGGCCATATACATTAGTTAACACCCATTCAAAACCATCACCCACCTGTTTGAATTTGACAGAAACTGAAAATTTTCCAACCAATTCTTCAACAACTTCATTTTCCACAAGGTCACTATTACTCCAGAAGATCCCCACGAGGGGCTCATTGCCCAATTGATACCATTTGCTCTCCAAACACTTCTGGCCCATCTACTATTAAATGTCATGAGATTAGATTCCTGAATTAGGAGTATATCTGGATTTTCTTTTCTTAGCAACTCCTTTATTAACACCCTCTTTCTTGCATTCCCCAAACCTCTCACATTCCAACTCACAATCTTCATATTGCCTTCTTTATCTGTCCCTAATCTCCTTTCTTCCTATCTTCCTCCTTTCCTTCCCCTTCCCTTTCTTTCACTGACTTTTTTATCCCCTTCCACATCTAGCTTCAGCCTTTCAACTTCACTCATCTTTCTTTTTCTCACCTTCCCTTCTTCTTTTCTATTCTTCAAGTATGTTTTCAGCTCATTCGAATTTTTTATTTTACAACCCAATTTTCCCACAAATTCAACCAACGACTCTTCTTTTGCTTCTTCCCTTTCAAACTCCTTTGATTCCTTCTCTTCTGTCCCCTCACTCTTTCTATATTCCACCTCTTCTCCAGTAATTTTATATCCTTTGTCCGCTCTCTCATTTTCCTTTTTTTTCTCTAGGGCTTCCCTTGTCAATACATTAAGCTCTTCCACTATCATGCTCCACACTTTCTCCCCTCTCTTCTCTTTCTCTTGTGTCTCAATTTCATCATGGGCAAACGGCAAGGAAGCAACTTTGGAACCTGGAGTACAAACAGCAAGACCAGAGCTGGAGTTAGTACCAAAACCTGGAAATGAGTTTGAGGTAGATTCAACAAGGGTCTGGACTTCACAATTCACTCCCAGAATAGATTTTTGCAAGGAACTTCCTGAGCCTGATTCACAATCACAGTTACTTCCATCGCTCTGTCATTTATCCCCCTCTGTTATACCTTCATATAGAGTTTGAGATCAAAGATCTGGGGGAATTGAGATACTTTCTTGGCATAGAAGTGACTCAGTCTAAGGATGGGATCTTTATCTCTCAACGAAAGTATGTGCTTGACTTGCTCATTGAAACAGGCAAGATGGGTGCAAGACCAATAGCTACACTTATTGATACGAGTCACAAACTTTCTGCCTTAGATGGAGAACTGTTGAAGGATAAGGGAGTCTTCCAGAGGTTACTAAGGAAATTGCTTTATCTTTGCATGACTTGGCCGGATGTTGCATATGCTGTCAGTTGCATTAGTCAGCTCATGCATGCTCCCAGGGACACTCATATGGCAGCAGCAGAATGAATTTTGTGTTATTTAAAGAGTACTCCTGGGAAGGGAATTCTATTTGCTAAGCATGGTCATATGAAACTGGAGGCTTATGCTGACTGGGTAGGAAACATTGATGATAGGAGGTCAACTTCCGGGTAATGTAGCATGGTGGCAGGTAATATTGTTTCTCAGAGAAGCAAGAAACAATCAGTTATTGCCAGATCTTCTGCTGAAGCCGAGTACAGAGCCATGGATCATGGAGTTTCTAAGTTACTTTGGCTTCGATCCTTGATGGAGGAACTGGGTGTTGAGTATGATAAGCCATTAATGTTATATTGTGATAATCAGGCTGCTACCAACATTGCTCACAATCCGGTGCAACATGATAGGACCAAACATATTGAAGTTAACAGACATTTTATCTGACAAAGAGTGGCTTTTGGAGAAGTTTGTCTGCCGTTTACTACTTCTGAAGAACAGTAATCTGACATCCTTACCAAGGGAATCTCCAAGGCCAAACTTTAGCATGATACTGGCAAGCTTGGCATGATTGACATCTATGCTCAGCTTGAGGGGGAGTGTAGAGAGAATGGGCCGAATGGCCCATAGGCTGTTTTATTTATCTATTTGTTTATGTTTTATACTATTAATGGGCCTCAAAATGGGTCTTTCTAATGATATGTTTACTTAAGTTAATCACCCAATTAAGGGCCTCTCTGTAAATATTGTAAATTATGTTTAATGAAAAGGGGATTAAGGGTAAGAGAGGTTTCATTCGAAAAATCCTTCTCTAAACCCTATTTGCCGCCATCTTCTTCTTCTCCTTCTCTCCTCTTGCTTCTCTTTTCTGCTGTTCTCTATTACCTTTTTGCACCTTTTTAATCAATCTGTTTGTTTCAAAAGATTGTTTTCCTTCTCAAAGCAAGGAGTCAATAGGCAAGAGTTGCTTTGGGCCTGTTTTTTAGATAGTTTGTATCAAAGGGTTCGCCATCCGGCCCTTGGATGGTGGCAGATGTAACTTTTATCCATTATTAATGAAAGTTACCGTTTCCCATAAAAAAAAAAAAAGAGTAGTCATAACTTGGATTAGAGCTGAAACCTTGGACTTATAGGCCTTTGGTAAGACAGGCACAAGTTCTAGGCAGAAGTATGAATAGCTCATTCGAGTGCCAATGACTGCAAATGTCTTGGTTGATGCTCTAGAAAAAGCAGGAGCAAGAAGAGAAAGCTTGGAGTGGGCAACAACTGGGCTGCGGCTGAATTTGTAAAGTTTCTATGCATATAATTTATTTCTTTTTTTTTTAGGGAATATATAATTTATTTCTATTATAGTCAAGGATAGCCTTGTATTATTCCTACTATCCAGTGATGTAGATAGTATGATTTTATTTAGTTCAATATAGTTCTTTCAGTTATCTACCAAAATAAAATGTTTGACTGTGGTTAATAACAGGTTTAGGAATATCTGATAGTTTATCTGCTATACTAGTTAAAAACTGTCATAAACAAAAAGCTCTTTGTACAGTGGACCACACTTACATACTTTGTTTTATATTTTAATACAATATACTTCACCCTTTTCAAAATAAATATCATAAACAAGAAACAACCAGATAGATTCTTTGACAATATTACAATTCATGAATTTTATAAATCAAAATTTTCCACAGGGTAGATAAACTTCAAAATGTTATACAATTCATTCACCTTTTAATGAAGCACAGGAATAAGATTCATTATATTTTTATAAATAAAGAAGTCATTATCACTAAGGCTAAGAGGCTCTCACCTTTTTCATCAAACGGAAAAGGTTATTATAGCAGCCAAAGAAAACATGTAGACCCATCTCAATGTGGTTTCCGTGCTTGTCCACAAAAGATCCCACTTTGCCACCAATGAAAGACCTTGATTCATATATATCAACCTGCAGATCAAAACAACAATGCCTATAAACTACTTGGTAATGATTTAAAGCATGTAAAGTTCTAGGAAAAACAAATTGATGAAAAAAGCTACTTAAAATTAAAAAAAAAAAAAAATCTCATCCAACGGGCAAAACAAGTAAAATGAGCCCCATGGTAATAATCAGTTCTGTTTGCTTTACAACAATGAAAAGCTGTGTGAAAACCATGGTCAACAGGATTGCAAATGGTACACTTTTGTCTGAATCCAATTTTAAATCTGATCTAATTATGTCAATCCCAATTCGATCTGTTTATAATTGAATTACAAATGGGTCTACCCCAATGTGATCCAAAAATGTTTAAACATTTATATTTACACTTATATCTACATAAATATGTATCTATTTGTAAAGTTGGTTTCAATGTTGATTCATGAATGTTTACTAAAGAGTCAGGTTCAAGTCTCATAAAAGTTACTTTTAAGTCAATTTGTTCATGTCATACAATATTTGAATTCGTTTTAAGTTTATTCTATCAATAACAATATAATAATCTGATTATTTTTAATTTAATATATTAATGGTATTCAATAACCAAATTTGGTCCATGTCCTATCTAAATTGGATAAATAAAATCTTATTCAAATTCAAATATTAACGAATTGAATTTGAATCTAGGTATATCCAATTCAATCAGATCTGTTGACAACCCTAATTGTGAAAAGTCCATAGAATCAACTAACATAATCAGATAAAATATCCGTTTTTTTTCAAAAGAATTACGTAAAACAACCTTACAGGCCCAAATGACACATTAATTGTGTTAGATGAATGCAAATATATGTGGTAATATGGAAGAACTTCAGAAACAATTAAACAAACTTGAGCTGAACCTCATGGCCTTGATCCAAAAGCTCCACTGCAGTTGACATACCCGCAAGTCCAGCTCCAATGATAGCAACTTTCAACTTTGGTCCCCTATAATGCTCAGGCTCCGGTGGAAACAACCCTTTGGGAGCTGAAAGGACACAATTCACTTTAGTAATAAAAGTAAAATTGATTAACAAGAATATTGTCCTTTTTTTTCCAATCTCAAGTATGAAAATTTTTAAAAAAAGGTACCGTATATCATAATGATTTGGGAACCTTCAGCTATCCAAACCAAAAACAACAGTATGGTAACCTATTCACCTGGCCCAATATGTACTGGTAGGTTCCAATCAAAATACCAAAAAAAAAAAAAAAAACTGTTAGGTTAAGTGCTTAACCAAAGAATGAATGAGAAATCATACTACTAAAAATTGCAGAAACAGGGTGAATTTTATGATAAAGCCCTCAATATTAAAATATGTTGAGCCATGAAATCTCTAAAGTTCTTCCCTTCTTTGTACATCAATTTTGGGGATGACACATAAAAAGAAATTCTGTCTGATACTCTTTTTCAACTTGCAAATTTCGGTCGGAAGTCAGCTAAACTCACTCTAAATTACTACAAAATGGCATGGCCATAGTATCTAAACCAACCTCAAATTCTCACTGAAGTACTACCAAGCACATGTACTGAAACTAATTGAAGCTAAAAAAGCAACATAAACAACAAAAAGAGTGCATAATTTAACAAGAAAATATTACCGTTGATGCTCATATCAGAGACATTCGTGTCCAAAGACGAACGAACTTCCAGTCTCTGCGTCTTCAATTGAATCTTTCCGTCCTTAAGAACCATCGGACGGCGAACTGAGAATCCAATCATCTCACTAAACCCGTTTCGCCTTCCGGTCAGTGTAGTAGAAAAACAAGTGGAAGAAGCCATGGTCACCTAATCAGCAAAAAAATTCAAACAACAAGATAACAAAGCTAAATTCTCTCTCTCTCTCTCTCTCTGTGTTTCTATTATTACAACCACAACAAGAAGAGAATTTTGTTGCAAGAGACACTCTCTACTCTATCTGAGTTTTGTCATGGCTTCCCGCGGCCAGTATTATCGTTGTTAATGGTTTTTTTCTTTATTTTCCGGGTGGAGAGGAGACCGGAGAGTAGAAGTGGGCACAGTACGGGAAGATGATTGGATGGAGAGAAGTAAAGGTTGAAGAAATTGTTTGGGAGGAGTTTTTAATGCTTTAGTGTGGCCGGTAGAGGTGAAATGACAGCTTGGGGTCTGAATTTTACTGAAGGTGGGAGGTGGTCACTGGCCAGTTGGGTGGTGCACCACCTTATCCTTCCACTCAGATTTGGAAAAATAAAAGAGCTTGGAAATGGACACACCACGATGCCCACTGAGCTTTTAACTATTTTCCTCTTTTTTCGATTGAGGGGTCAGGACTCGGGAGGGGCGGATGGTGCCTAGCGCGTATTCTGCAGGTCCTCCGCAGTCCACACATACAACAAGCTGTTTGTGGGATGCACGAGGTTTTCCTTCAAACCAAACAACATATAAAAGAAATGAATGCACGTTCAGGCTCCGTGGGATGCACGAGTTTTGTTAATCAAGACTTATAAACAAATTGAAAGAATCAAAAGAATAGTCTAATTAATTTGTCAAAAACTAATAATAATAATAATAAAATTATTATTATTATTATTATTTAAGTAACTAATATAAATTATTTTTATTTATACAATTATTAATTAATAATATAACCATACTAAAAATAACTTAATACTTAACTTAAATAATCATTATTGATGTAGCGCAATCCTTGGGGGGGGAGCCCGGGCTCTCCGAGCTAGGCGAGAGGCTAAGTTACCGAGGTATTTGTCCTCGGCGAGTTGCTTGACTTGCTGAGTTGCCAGTCCTCGACTCGGTGCGTCATTCCCGTCGAGTCGAGATCATGCTGCCAGACTGAGCTGTTCACCAAGCCAAGTTACGTGCACATGTCCTTGGGCCACGGGGTCAGGCCAAATCGTCCTCCATCAATTGCCCCCCACTCCTCGTGCTGGGGACGGGGCCCCAGTGCAACGAGTTCATGGTTTGTCGGGCAAATTTAGCTCAGTACTCACACCGCGATGTTGGGTGGTTTAGTGGTTGGACCGGTTGGGTATTCGGTTTGCACGGAGGGGAAAACCCCATGTCTCGTGCAATTCATGCACGAATGTCACATGCTTTATGCTGCGCGGACGCCAAAAAGCGCGCTAAATCAAATTCGCATCGAGAGTTCCGCAGCCGGTTTCTTTGAGGTCCGTTGGTTACCGGGCCCCGCATCTATAAATAGCGGGATTCTGGCCATTTTCTTTTCGCTGCTAAGTGTTCTTCGCCTTGAGCTCGCGTCTAAGGTCTCCAGCTCGGGTCTTCCAGCTCGGTTTCGTCTTTTTCTGGTGAGTCCCTGAGTCTTTCCTTTTTTTCTTTCTTCTCAATCCGTTCTCCCTTATGTCTAGCGAAAGCAGTTTCTCAGACGAGCCCGAGGCAGGCACCTCGGGTCATTGTGACCCTTCTACGGCCCGGCTTTCTCGTGAGGCATGGGCAGCCTCGGGTAAATTGGCGTCCACCTCTCATCGAGGTCGGATGCCAGACCAGTTCGGTCCCTCTACTCTGACGCCAGAGAGGCTCCAAGACCTCGTCCAGCAGTTTAACCTTCCTTCAGAGTACAACTATAACCTTCCTACCGGCAATTTTCCCTGGGAGCACGGTCCGGATGAGGTCGTGATCTTTAGAGAACAACTCGTCGATGGGCTTCGTCTCCCTCTTCACCCCCTTATCCCCGAGGTGTTGAGGCGTTTCAACATCACGCTGGATCAGCTTCACCCCAACTCCATTCGGAATCTGGTGGGAACCATTTCCCTCTGTCACGAAAGGCAGTTCTCTTTGGACGCGGACATACTCTGCTCCATACTGTTAATAAAAAAGAGTGCCTCCAGCGCTCCCCCCGAGCATGGGCAGATCCACTACTTGTCTCCTCGCACAGGCTTCAAACTGCTGCATAAGTTCCGGAGCAAGGTCCCGACCTAGAAGCGGGACTACTTTGTGGTCCGGTCCAGCACAGGGTGACCCTTCCTCACTAGCTGGAGGGTGGCTACCCAGGCCGCCAGCATCGCCCTCAACCACCAGACGTGGGAGACCTTCCATTCGTGAGCTCAGGCTGAGCTCGATCATCAGGAGTACATCACCGAAGAGAAGCTCGTTCAGGCCGGTTTGAGCTCGGATAGGTCTATTTCTGTCTTTTGGTGCCTTGCTTTTATCTGCTTGTTGTCTTCGGGTTTACTGACGCCAATTTTGTTGTAGGTCCCATGGACGAAGAAGAAAGGATTACGACTACCAAGCTCCTCAACCAAATGAAAAAGATGAAGAAGCGGACTGCCAAGAAGGCTCATGTGGAGCCGCCAAGGGCTTCCTCCCCTGAACCCGATCATTCTCGGGCTCCCGCCCCTGAGACCGAGCTCAACAATGCCCCTCTGGTGATAGATCTGGAGGATGATTTTCCACCCCAAAAGCCTGAGTCTGCGGAGGGGTTGGTGGACGAGCCAGCCGGGGTTGCTGCTAAGGCTCCGGGTTCTGCTGGGGCAGCCGCTGAGGCTCCGGGTTCTGCTGGGGCGGCCGTTGAGGTCACTGAAGAGTCGGCTCAGCATGCTGCAGATGCGGCGGTGTCCAGTTC